AATCGAGTGATATTGATAACGATAATTTTTGCTACTGATTTTGAAATCGATAGAGTCTAAGAAGAGTGGCAAAATTATATAGAAAAGTCAGGTTGCTATTTTTACCTATAAGATCCTTATTCTTCATTTTTCTTTTCTTTTCTTTTTCTTTTCTTCTGTGGTGGAAATTATAAGATCCTCTTGATGTGGTGGAATTCTTGGTTTAAATTGAGTTGAATCAATCACCTTAATTGATAAGTTCGGGCATGAGAAACGGGGGCTAAGTACTTTTGTTCAATCCTCGTTGAAAAATTATTCATCAAGTTGTCCACTGTTCAAATCTAATATTGACCAAATTCAAAGCTATGATCTACGTGGGCTTCTTTAAAGGTATGCTAAGTTATCATGATCTTGTTAATGTGGGCTGTAAGCCTTGTGAAACCCTGAGCCCATGCACTTGTTATTTTGGGCTTTGGTCCCTTCAGTCCATAACACTCTGAATTCAAATCATCAATTCTTCTCTTCACTCTTTCGTTTGCTGGTCCAACCAACTAGGTTCGACTCAGGTTTGGGTTAACCAGAATCAAACCCAGTATCTTAATGCCTAATGGTGTTGATCACAAGTAAAATGTGTTTGAATTGACTTCCATTTCGGGCGAATTTGTTCCCCTTTTCAGTCAACTGGAATTTTGGTATCGTATGACCAATGCAAAGTGGTCTCAAAATGTGGAAAGTAATACTCGATCATGATATTATATCCAATAGACAGACACCAAGCATTTAGTACAAGTAATAAAGAGACACTTGTAACTTGGTTATTCGAGTTCATATTAATTCATGTCTCTCTCCCTCTAACCGATGTGATTATTTTAATTTTACGATGTTGATCTTAAATTTTTCTAGGACATATATGAGCGGAGTTCGCAGGACCAAATATTGTGCTAACTGCTAACATAGTGATCATGAGTTGAGTTGTAGTCTCGCAACTACAAAAAAATGATAACTATACGACTATAATTGTACTAATAAACATAACTCATGATTAACATGGTGCTACCCCTTGTTAGACTTGTAAAATGTAAAATAACTTTTTTATCCTAATAATAAATTCAACTCATATGGAAACACCAATTCAGGATTTTGCTACGATGCCTTGTAACTTGGACAAAATGATCGATTAGATGACACAATTGCACCATTACAGAGAACAAGGTGGTCATATATTTGGGAAATTTCGATTGGATGACATAATTGTACAATTACAAAGAAAACAAAAATTGACTAGGAAACGAAATTGTTGGCCTATTGACCATTACCTCATTAGTATTGCAAGTTGCAACAAGATTCCACCACCAGAAATGTTTCAGTACTAAACAACGACTTTGAAACCACTTAACCCTAGTTAACAACAACCTAAACCTCTGTAAGTAACAATAAATTTTATTAGTTTATCACTCTAACAACCTCGTGAATAAAATATTGTGGATATTTAACACGATTAAGAAGAAAAGAATCATGAACATCAAATGTAGTTGTTTGTGCAACATGAGTAGATCAACATGCCGACCACGTCGAAAGTCCGGTTTACCTTTCAATTGAAATCACGGGATACATTGTCTTTGGAGAGCACTCTCCACAACGTTGATAAAAATTACGAAAATATATTTACCTAACCTGTTGACCTCTCCATGGTGCGATTGGTCAATTTATTTCTAAGTATCGATCTTTTCATGATCAAGTCGACCGCAACATATAAGCGATCTTTTTATTATTATTATTAATACAAATCAGTAAATCACGATGATAAAGTCACCAAAATTTATCATCCGCTTCCCCAAAAAATAGAAGAAAAGCGAAAGACAACAACTAGGCCCAGATTGGAAAAAGATATCAAGCAAAGAAGAGAAGATTATATACCGATAGCTCCAACCCAAATGGCAAACTCCAAACCTACCCACTTGCATTGCAACTTATAAACCAGCTAAAATCCAATAGCATGAGCTGGACCTCAACAAATGTCCAGAACCAGGTGGAATCACAATTTGTATATTAATTATATACAGCTATTTGTCTAATCTGTAGCTACCAGGAATAATTAGCCCCGGTTAATTAATTGGTCCAGGCCACCCTCTGATCAGTAATTTGTCTATGATTCAGAAAACAAATTAAAAGTGTGCTGATATCATGAGGTAGAAAATTGGGTTCTTTGATGGAAATGCCTAATTGCTGCATGTACTCTGCCCAGCCTGTCATATTTGACGGTGACATTATGTTAGCTAAGTAAGTAACCACGTAATTAATCCCAACTTCCTATTGTAGATTGATACGACACAACAACAAGTCGAAGATAACTAGAAAAGTCCAAGTTTACCACTCCATGCATGTTGTCACCTCATAATTCACAACCCATCGATCACTCGCAATTAACAGAGCTCTTATCTATTACATTCAACATCTAACATCCCCTTGATTTCCCAAGTCCGAGGTTCAAATTCGGAGTGCATGCATCCCGTGATTTCCTTGTTTTTCCTCTTGACAGCAAGATGGAGCGCTTCATCAACCCAGGCATACGTTTGCCATTGACTCTCTTCATAAATTCCTAGCAGTCAAAACGATACGTTTTCTTATCATAAATGGTTTCAATGTGCCCTCATTTCGTCATGCACTATAACAACGTTATGGATCAAGCAAACCCTAAAGCCCTACCTTTCTCATTCCATTACACAGCTTATATAGCTGGAGAGTCAGTACAGAAACCTTACAAAACAAGGTAAGAAGACAAGGCTTGGAAGAAAAGCAAGTACAGCCGAAAAAGGAAATGAGTAGTTTTAACAAGTTTGAGGACTAAGTGGCATTTTGCCAGAAACGACGTCACTCCACGTGCGTTGTGCCTTCACTTGAGTTGGCATTGGAACGGCGTCGCATTGCTTCTGTTTTCCGGATGATGATGAAGCGGTGTCGCTTTGATTCCTGGCTTCAGCTGATGGTGAAACGATGTCGGGTGAACTCTCCTTCTTCTTCCCTGTGAGAACAACGTCTCTGTTCAGAGCCGTTGGAGGTTTGAAAGGGGCAGAGCGCGAAATTCCTTCGCATTCCCCTGATACCCCCCCGCAAGCTGGCGGGCATAGATTGAGGACGCCGAGCTTGGAGAGCAGGAAAGAGAAGGGTGCAGGAGAGAGAGCCTTGGTGAAGAGATCAGCCAATTGATGAGCAGAAGAGACATGGAGTACCTTGATGGTGCGATTGAGCAGCTTTTCACGGACAAAGTGGCAATCGAGCTCAATGTGCTTTGTCCGCTCGTGGAATGTTGGGTTCTCGGCGATGTAGATCGCGGATTGGTTATCACAGTAGAGGGTTGCTGGCTGTGGATGAGGAATTTGGAAATCTTGAAGCAAATAAAGCAACCATTGAAGCTCACAGGTGGTGTAAGCTAGAGCTCGATATTCAGCCTCGCAAGAAGATCTGGAGATGGTGGTCTGCTTCTTGCTCTTCCACGAGACCAGAGAATCACCAAGGTAGACACAGTAACCGGTGACAGAGCGCCGAGTATCAACACAGGCAGCCCAGTCTGAATCACTGAAGGCTTTCAAATGAAGAGGAGAATCAGCAGAGAAGAACAGGCCATTGGAAGGCGCAGATTTCAGGTAACGAAGGATTCGAACAACTGCTTTGAAGTGATCATTGCTTGGATTAGCCATGTATTGACTAACTTGTTGAGTAGCATAGCTGATGTCAGGGCGAGTGGTGGTGAGATAGATTAATTTTCCTACCAACTTCCTGTACTCTTCTGGATCATGATAGGGATCAGTGTGCTCAGCAGATAGATGAACTTTGTAGTCCATAGGTGTAGTAGCAGGTCTGGAATGAATGAGATCAACTTCATCAAGGATCTCAAGTGTATATTTTCTTTGTGAAATGTGAATGCCTTTTCTGCTTCTTGCAACTTCAATTCCCAGAAAGAATTTGAGGGTTCCTAGATCTTTAATACTGAATGTCTGATGAAGGAAAGACTTGAGTTGCTGAATCTCTTCTAAATTGTTGCCTCCAATGACCAAATCATCGACATAAATCAAGATATAGGTGTAGGAAGAACCTGATGATTTGTAGAAAAGTGAATGATCAACCTTGCTAGGCATATAACCCTGAGACTGTAGCTTATCAGCAAGCTTAGTGAACCACTGACGTGAGGCCTGTTTGAGGCCATAGATAGACTTTTTTAGGCGGCATACAGGATTCTTGAAGCCAGGTGGTGGAATGTCACCAGGGGGAAGCTTCATGTAGACTTCCTGGTCTAGATCACCATGTAGGAAGGCATTGTTCACATCTAGTTGGTGAACATGCCAAGCCTGAGCAGTAGCAATTGCTAGGAATAGTCGAATGGTAGTCATTTTGACTACTGGAGCAAATGTATCTTGATAATCAACCCCCTCCTGTTGATTGTAACCCTTTGCAACCAGCCTAGCCTTCTGTCTCTCTAAACTGCCATCAGAAAGATGCTTGTTTTTGTAAACCCATTTGTTCCCTACTGGTTTTTTACCAGGAGGGATTTCAACAACATCCCATGTCTGATTGGCCTCAAGAGCAGTAGTTTCAACTGCCATTGCTTCATTCCATTCAGGATACTGGCATGCCTCTTTGTAAGTCTGGGGTTCTTTCTGAGAAGAAATGCTCAAGACAAAGTTCTGATGGTTGTGTGAGAGATTAGAATAATCCAATACAGAAGAGAGAGGGTAGGTGATACCTGGAGTCTGCTGCTGACTTGGATGACTGGTGGAAGAAAGCTGCTGAAGCAGGTTGCAATGGTATTGTTGAAGGTGGGAAGGAGGTTTTCTGGTTCTGTTGGATTTTCTGGTAGGGAAAGGTGGTGGAGGAGAAGATGGTGGAGGGGAAGGTGGTGGAGATAGTGTGGGAGAATCAGGAGGAGAGTTGTCATCTCCTGAGTCAAAGTGAAGATCATTGAGGAAGGGTTCTGGATTGGGTGAATTAGGAGGGTGATAGGTAGGACTAAAGTCATCATAGATGGTAGGGTCAATTGGATTGGCATAGGGAGAGGTCTGGTTCTGGTTTTGGCTTTGGTCTTTGAATGGGAATACATGTTCATAGAACTGCACATCTCTGGAGACAAAGATATCATGAGTAAGAAGGTCATATATCTTATAACCTTTCATCCCAGGTTGGAACCCAAGAAATACACCCTTTCTAGCTCTAGAGTCAAACTTGCTTCTGTGATTAGCTAATGTGCTAGCAAAACATAAGCAGCCAAAGACCTTTAGGTCTGATAAGTCTGGTGGTTTGTTATAAAGCTTTTGAAAGGGGGTTTGGTTCCCCAGAACAATTGTAGGAACCCTGTTGATGAGAAAAACTGAATGCTTAACACAATCACTCCAGAAAGAAGGGGATAAATTAGATTGAAATTTTAATGCCCTGGCAACAGCTAGGATATGCTGGTGTTTTCTTTCTACTCTGCTGTTCTGTTGAGGTGTCTCAACACAAGACAGCTCATGTAGAATCCCAGTTCTATTGAAAAACTCAGTCATTTCAAATTCTCTACCTTGATCACTTCTGATTCTCTTAACAGTGGTTTGAAACTGTCTTTCAACATAAGAACAAAAGGCTTGAAGCTTTGGTCTGGCATCAGACTTGGCTGGAAGTAAAATCAACCAAGTCATTCGAGTAAAATCATCAACAATTGTTAAAAAGTACTTGAATCCATCATAACTGGGTATAGGGTTTGGACCCCAAATGTCAACATGAATCAGTTCAAAAGACTGTTGAGCAACAGAAGTGCTTGAAGGAAATGGTAATCTCTTCTGCCTAGCAAAATGACAAGTATCACAGGGTATAGAACTGTTGGTATCTATATCTAGACAAAGGTTTTTCAAAAGTGGCACTTTAGAATGTGAAACATGGCCTAATCTAAAGTGCCAAACATCAAAATCTTGAGAAGTGGCAGCAGAGAAGTGTTTAGGTTGACTGGTATCTACAGGTTGCTCTAAATGGTAAAGGCCATGGGACAGCTTAGCAGAACCAGTCATCCTCCTCAGCTGCATATCCTGGATCAAGCAGACATCAGAGAAAAAAGTCAAGCAAAGGGACTTGTTCCTGGTTAGCTTGCTAACAGAAACCAAATTGAAGCTGAACTGTGGAACAAACAAGACTCCTTGTAGAGTCAAGTCAGCAATACAGGTAACTGTTCCCATATGAGTTGCTTGAATTTGATCTCCTGTAGGCAAGGTAATGAAAGTGTTGTGTATCCTTCTGTGATCAGTCAGAAGGTCCAAGGAACACACAATGTGATCCGAGGCACCAGTATCAAGGATCCAGGTTTGATCATGAGGTGATTTGTGGCTCACATTGAGCAGAATTTTACCTGAGGGTCCAGCTGGTGTGGTAGTGAAACTTGCAGCTGAAAAGGATGGGTTGTTGCTGGTGGAAGCCTTCTGAGACCCCTTGTCACTCATCAGGGACATGAGCTTGATGTAGTCTGCCTTGGTCAGTTTGATCTCTTGAGTCAAATCCTCTGAGTTTGTGTTTGCAGCAGCATGTGCTTGAGGTCTGCCCCTCTGAGGTCCCCTCTGGTTTGGATATCCATGTTTACTGAAACATTTGTCTTCAGTGTGCCCTTGCTTCTTGCAGAAGGTGCACTCCATGTTTCTCCCAGCAGGATTTGGTGCCTTGTTGTTCATTCCAGGTGGCCAACCATGCTTGTGATAGCAGGTTTCTTCTGTATGCCCCAAGAACTTGCAATAGGTACAGTAGGGTCTTGGCCTCCTGATCTGTGAATTGTTGTTGTTCTGTGCTGCCAAAACCATGTTTTCAACAGCAAGAACCTTGCTTTGTTGTGTGCCAACCAGCTGCCTTTCATGCTGGAGCATCCTCTGGAAGACTCTATCGATTGGTGGTAACTCATCACCAAACAGAACTTGAGATCTCACACTTGAAAAATTCTCATTAAGACCTCTTAGAAACTGGATAACATAGTTGGTTTCCTTGTAAGCAAACACAACCCTCATGGCCACACATGTTTCTCTGCTGTTGGGTGTGCAGGTACAATGTTGTAGTGGCTGATAATTGTCTAACTCATCCCTAATAGCAATTAGGTTTCCATAATACTCTGTAACAGACTGACTACCTTGCTTCAAACTGCTTAAAGCTTCAGTGAGTTCAGCAATTCTTACCACATCTCCTTGACCATACCTAGATTTGAGGCTTCTCCAGGCTTCAAGGGAGGTTTTGCAAGACATGATGGTCTTCCTGATGATGGGATCGACTGCTTGCTGGATCCATGACAGCACCATGACATTGTTCCTGTTCCAAGCCCATGCATTCTGATGTGCTTCTCCTGGGTGGGGAATGGTGCCATTGATGAATCCAAGCTTGTTCTTGGCTCCCAATGCGTTCAACATGGCTTGGCTCCAGTCATTGTAGTTGGCAGTGGTAAGTTTCTCTCCCACCAACAGCAACCCTGGTTGCTCAGATCCATGTAGGTAGTAAGGATCTGACATAGGATCAACATTGGCTTGAACATTCTCGGCTTCTGCTTGAACGTTGTCTGCCATGTTTTGAGGCGGCTAGGGTTCTCTAGGAACCAGGCTCTGATACCATAACAACGTTATGGATCAAGCAAACCCTAAAGCCCTACCTTTCTCATTCCATTACACAGCTTATATAGCTGGAGAGTCAGTACAGAAACCTTACAAAACAAGGTAAGAAGACAAGGCTTTGAAGAAAAGCAAGTACAGCCGAAAAAGGAAATGAGTAGTTTTAACAAGTTTGAGGACTAAGTAGCATTTTGCCAGAAACGACGTCACTCCACGTGCGTTGTGCCTTCACTTGAGTTGGCATTGGAACGGCGTCGCATTGCTTCTGTTTTCCGGATGATGATGAAGCGGTGTCGCTTTGATTCCTGGCTTCAGCTGATGGTGAAACGATGTCGGGTGAACTCTCCTTCTTCTTCCCCGTGAGAACAACGTCTCTGTTCAGAGCCGTTGGAGGTTTGAAAGGGGCAGAGCGCGAAATTCCTTCGCATTCCCCTGATACACTATCCATCAAAAGCCAAAAGCTCTTCATCCTTTTTCTTCGTGGGGTTTCCATTGCATGTTCCAACTCTGATGATATAAATAATTTTTTTTTTTCATTTTATTCATAAACGTATATAATATGACGTCCGCCGTGGCGTCGCATATGCTTGCCTAACAAATTTCCGTTAAACCGGCAGCCGCGGTGTCCCGTTAGGTCAATTATCAGGCGCCGACCTTGCCATCCCATTGGCCGTCCATAATATTAAAAGGAAATCCGGTATCAACTACATTTGCATTTTGCCGGTACAATATTTAATTCTTTTATTAATTGCTTTCGTCCTAATTAGAAGGACATGTGTCGAGATGTCACTGCCCTCCTTCATCTACCACTGCCCACTTGCACGGTCCAAAAATAAATCAACGAATGAATGCCTAAACCTCATTCTGTGCTGTCAATCGGGACGTCTCGAATTTTCTAAGATTATCACACCCAAAATATTAAATTAATACGAAATGACATATACCAGTAAGTTGAGAATCATGTGACTCAAGCTACCAAGATCAACTTACCAAGTTACATAGTTTACGTAATTAGGTTAAGAAAAATAATTTATGCCTTTCATAATTTGGGTGATTATGGGAACTGGGAAGCCTTAATAGCCCAACTTGGTCATGAAAAAAAGGGTGATAATGTTAGCAAGGGCGGAGGGGAGGAGGGTTAGAGGATGTACCCATTATGACTTAGGAAGAAAAATTGTAAATTAAGCATAGTAGTTAATCGAGTATGAAAAATAATATATATGCGATGGTTAATATTTAAATATTTAATTTATAATTTATAAGTTGTGTATTGGCATATTCAATGTTTCTATAACAAGCTGTGTGCAAGTAATGAAATAATAATGGTGCATATGATCCACCCAAAATTAAAGATGTACTTATTCAATATCTACAACAAATTTTCACCAAATTATAGCTAATTTGTAAAAATAATTTTATTTTAACCACGGGTAGAGAGAGTATAACGGGTGGCTCATAAGGAAGAAAATGAGTAAATTAGTATAATAGTTAATTGTGAATGAAATTTAAAGCACTTCTAATTGAGAATGGTTGACCGAGAGATCATGTGTACGAATCTTGGCAACCCCATTTGGTAAGCACATGATATTTGAATTTACGAAAACTTTAAGCACAGATAATTTGATTTTTGTTTGTGCCACGTACGCCTTGCCGTCGGCTGATCCCTCGAACCCTCTGGACTTTCCCCACGCTTCGCCCCCCACGCTTCCCTCCTGCACACAGCAAGGCGCCCGAACCCCTTTGCAAGGGCTCGTTAGCACTCCAACGCTCAAGTCAGGATGAATTCTAGAGAGAGAAGTGAGATGTAAGTTTTAGAGAGAAGTTATGACCTGAGTAAATGAGCTTCACCCACTTCACTATTTATACCCGAGGTAGGGCCGACCATTGCCCCCCAGATCCGCCCTACGTCATCTCCTCATTAAATGCACTGTACCTTACTCCTCCCTGGCGCCCCGACACTCTGACACCGGTCGGCGCCACCGAGGCGCCCGGCCCTACCCTTGTCTCCTCCGTACGCTTCTGACCGTTACCCCTTCTCCTTGTCGTCATGCGCCCCCTCGGCCCGGACTCACCGCTTGGGCCCTGGCCTCTGGTCCGCCCTTGGGCCATACCTCTTCTTTGCCAGGCCCACAGTCATACTGGCCCTTCAATTGGGCCTTTCTTTGCATGCCCCCCAACAATTGCCCCCCAGTTAGGCGCCTACCCTTTGGTGGGGGCCTAACTAACCTGTTCGCCCTCTTTTGGTTCTCCAGCTCTTCTCGGGGAGCACGCCTCGCCGTCACCTCCCCCGAAGGTGCGTCTCTGGGTCTCATTATTTCCGCCGACTGAGGCGCCCTTGCTCCCTTCTTCGTGCTAGATTTTCTTTTTTCTTTTCATTTATTGTCGGCCGACGGTTGGGCTTCCGCCTTGATTGCGGACTAACCCTTGGGTTTCCACCTCGGTCACTGTACCCCACTCCCTTCCCCCTAGGCTGAAACGATTTCAAATTTCGAATTTTGAATTCGCTTCAGCCTACCTGACGGTTCGGCTTACCACCCCGCTCTTTCCCCCCTTTTTTCTTTCGCCTATAAATTGCCTCCTCTTGCTTCTGTCGCTCTCACTTTTGCAAAAACTCCCCCTCTCTCTTCTTCCTCTCTCTAAAATCTTTGTGCTTTGCGTCGAGTGCCTTTGTCCAGACTTCGGCCACTTCCCCCGGCCAACCAGCTAGGCGCCTTACAGAGCTCGGCCCCTTCTTTCTAAGTCTTCACCCATCGAGAATCATGGCGTCCTCAAACCAACCAGGCTCCTCTAAGATGGCGCCTTCCAACGCCACCCCATCCGCCTCGGCGCCTCCTCCTACGGGGCCCCCCACTGTTGCGCCTTCCGACGTGCCCAACTCTGCGCCTTCCGCCACGAACCCAACGGCGCCGTCCGCCGCTCCAGGCGCCGCACAAGGTACCCCGCACTCTGTCCTCCCCTTACTCGTTTTATGTTAGTACGTCGCGCCTTGTGTTGATCGGTTGTGAAAAATAAGCTGTTACCCCTCCTTTGCTTCCACCATTACCCCCCCATGTCGTGGCTTGGGCGCCTTTCGTCGTTAGTCGAGTCTCCCCTCCGTGGGCGCCCTTCTTGATCTCCTCCTTTCTTTCTGACGTAGGCACCCGCGCGCCTCGAGAGTACGTGATAAGCCAGTGGGGCAACATGTGGCCTCCTGGGTATGCGCCCACAGATACCGACCTTATGACCGAGGAAGACGCCGGGCCACCTTACGCCTCCAAAATTCTTTATTCCCGCTTCACCTCACTCATTCGGGCGGCGCAAATGCCCGCCGACTGGCGTTACGCGCACCCCTCCCCCGTGGCGCGTGTGGGGGTGTGCGGGGAGGGATGGATAGGCGTATACCAGGAGTACGCCCGCTTCGGGCTTCGCTTCCCGATTGATCCCATCCTCGAAGGCGTGCTACACCTTTGTCGGTGCTCCCTAGGGCGCCTTTCCCCAGTCATCATATTGTATACCGTCCTTTTCCGCCTCAAATGCCGCCAACATAATATCCTTCCCTCTTTCAAACTTTTTCGGCATTTCTTTACTATGATTAGGAGCCCCAACTGCTTCAGCCTGCAAAGGCGCTCGAAGCTGGGCTATCACTTCATAAGCCAAGGCAAGAAGATGGGGCGCTCATGGTTTGAGTCCTTCTTCTTTGTCCGCCCCCGCGACACGCCTTTCTTTGAGAGCGGAGCCGCTCCTTTGACTCAGTGGTCCTTCGGGGACGAGGCCGAGTTCAATAACCACCCCCTCCTCAACAAGGCGGAGGAAGACATGGTGCGGCTCCTCTCTAGTGTACCCATAAGTCTGAAGAAGGACGATGCGTATGCCCAGTACTTATCAGAGTTCTACGATGATGGTAGCGTTCGTGCGCCCTACTTGTGTGCCTTCCCCTTTGCGCGCCTTGCTAACCTTGCTTTTGTTTCTCTTCGCAGGTACGGTGTTTACCAGCGTGACGGACCTCATACGCTCGAAGCTTCACCTGATCCCCCCAAAGGCGCCGCGTAAACGTGGCAAGTCCGGCAAAGCGAAGGCCGCTTCCTCCCAAACCGCGCCGAAACGGCCACTCCGTGTGAGGATCATCTCAAATCCTCCGGCGCGCACAGAAGGCGCACCGTCTCCCTCCGCTCATGACGTCCCCCAACCATCCTACAACTCCCCCATCCATCTTGATGACAATCGAGGCGCCTCTCCCTCTCATCACAGTCGAGGCGCCTCCCCTTCTCCTCGCAGTCAGGGCGCAACGTCCCAGACTCCCACTCGCGCCTCCAGTCAAGCCGAGGCGTCCGAGAAGAGGCCGGCGGAACCTCTGTTGTCAGCCGCGAAGAAGGCCAAAATCGACCATGTGATCGCCTCGGGCGTGCCAGCTAGCCTGGTGATGCCCAGCGTGGGAGAGCATACGGGGAAGGTCTTGCCCCCCTACTTTCAGCCGCCTTCACGACCCCTCGAAAAGGTCAACGTAGGCGTACCAGTTAGGGCGGCCAAAGATGCGAGCGCCGCTATGCAGATGGTGCTCTCTCACGCCGCCGTGATCGAGCGCCCCGACCACCTGAAGTCCAACAGGCCTCTGCGCACAATGGCCAATCTCTCCGTGCAGGTAAGGCGCCTGTTCCCTAGGCTTCCTTTGTTGATTCTCAACTTTGCTGGCCAACGAATTCTAACCTTTTTGCCTTGTGCCCGTGTTAGATGATGATGCTGATCGAGTCCACTGCGCGTGAATTCGACCGGATGACAAAAGAGAGCTTGACCGCCGACGGGGCTGCTGAGCGCCTTCGCGAGGAGCTGGCCTCTGCTCGCGAGGCGCAGGAGGCTCTGACCAAGGCGCGGGACGACGCTCAAAAGGAGGCCCAGGCGTGGGCAGCGAAGCTCTCGACCGGCATTGAGGCGGAGCGCGAAAGGATCAAGAAGTCCGTCGAGGAAGAGTGCAAGAAGCGCTACGAGGCGCAGGCCAATGTGATTCGAGCCGAGGCGGCCGAGGTAGAGAGGCAGCTGCGTGAGAAGGAGGCGTCTCTTCTTGCCGAGCGTGATAAGTATACGCTGAGGCACGGACCTTCTCGGAGGATCTGAAGAGGGCCTCCAAGGCCAAGGAACAGTGCCAGAAGGAATTGAAGGCGGCCACTGCTGAAGTGGAGCGCCTCACGAAGGACCTTCTGGACTACCCGCAGTCGGCGGCCGGCAAAAGCTTCCAAGCTGATAATGTGATCAGCACGGTGAAAATGCTCCGAGACAAGTTCAACAAGGACGTCCCCGATGTGGAGTTCGACCCGATGGCAATGATCATGCATATTCTGAAGTTCATGGATAGTGGCCGCCAGGCTAGCGAGCTGGCGCCTATAGTCGGGCTGGACGTCCCGCCAGTGAATGAGGAGGATGAAGAGGCTGAGAGCGGGGAGGATGAAG